ATTTAATTTTAAAATTTATATCAGGAAAATCAAATTTACTGTTATTTGTAAGTAATGCATCTTTCAAAATTTATATGATGAATCATCATATATCGACAGTAGATTAGATTAAGTTTAAAAATTGGTATTATTTTGTACTTTTGGAAACATGGGCAAGTCTGTATTAATAAATAATAAATCGTAAATGAACAAATTGTCAAAATATGTAGGAAAAATGGAATTATTGAGAAATATGTAAAAACATGTACTTATGGCAAAATATGTAAAATAAAATATAGTTCATTTTATTGGAAATTCCTTGAAACGAATTTATCACTTACCTAAATTAATTTATCAAGTCACAGTAAAAATATGTATTTACATATAAATCCGAGCCCTAATGATGATTAACTAAAGGCATTTAAAATATCTCTGAATTCTTGGTTACTAGCTATTAGCAAACATAAAAAAAAATCTTATCATTGTAGGCAAATTATTTATAGTAAATAAGAACTTTTATTAAATAAATAAAGTTAATTAAATTTGTAGATCCACATTTTTGTAGGTAAATATATTAAGAGTGAGAAAGAAACTTTCAATGAGAAAAACTAATTATTTTGAGTATTTACTTGATCAGTTTAAATGAAACAAATAATATTTCTAAAATGTAATATATAATGAGTATAAAATTCCATTCAAAATAATTAAGTATTTTAACATTTTAGCGAACACTATGAATTAAAAAAAATGTCAAGTGCAAAAGCAATAAATAACTAACTTTTTGTTTCTTTATTTCTTACATAAGTATTTAAATTTTTGATATGATTTTTATAATTAAAAATGCCTAAGTGATTTATGGCAAAATGACTGACATTTTTAATTAGAATCAATATAACAAAGAATTCAACAGTTCAATTTCCATATCTCATTAGGTAACTGAATGATCAGAAGTCAGTAAACGCAAACAACGATTTAATTTGAATACAGTACCTTCTAGAATCTAGATTATCCTTGATCTTCCACAGAGCTAAATACCTACAGTACTAAAAATTTTGTTTATGTAAAATATATGTTTTTATGAAAAATCAAATGTAAATGTTATATAGGTATATTGTATAAATGTTTAAATACAAATACAAAGGGTACCTACCTACTAATCTATTTTTCGTTAAATACTGTTTAATATTATCTACATAATATAATTTTTTAATGATTTAATAACAGCATATTAGTTTTATTTGTATTTTACGGATTAACCTCAGAATTTGTTTATCCGTGGTTGCCGTACCACCCTATTCCATGAATAATAGAGAGTTTACTGTAATCAATTTAAAATATGAATTGTTTGTCAAAATAACAGGCTGAGATAATCTCAATATTACAGTCATCAGTATCAGTTTTTTTCTTCAAACCTTTAGGCTAGGTTCACATGAAGAGCGTTTATAATAATGAATGCAGCTGTATTATAACTTTCTGACGCGTTGCAACGCGTCAACTCGCGTCGTCATTCATCCTATGTAAATTTTCTAAACGAGAGTTTGGCTAACGCGCGTTTAACAGCTCTCATGTGAACTAGGCCTTAGTAGGTACCATAGTATAATATAACCAATAAAATGTCAATAAATATGTACCTAATTTTTAAATGATAATACTATTTAAATATCTACTAGATTAGAAACAATTTGGTAAATACAAGGCTGTGTCCAATAATACTGTTTACCACGATTATGATTTGAATTAATAAATAATAATGTAACAATATTAATATTATACAAACAATTTAGTTGCTCATAAAGTTTGAAATAACAAGCTAAACAATAAGCAAAAACACATCATTTTGTTTTTATAGTTTAAATTATATATCATTAATTATTATTTACTTGCCTAATAGCTATTAGATATAATCGTTTTGAACCTATTATTTATCAAGTGATTGACTAAAAGAATATTTTTTTTGCAGGTAGGTACTAATATGAATAATTTTCATATAATCACTCTTCTAGAAATGTAAGATGTTTTAATATGTCATGATTTATACATAAAATATCAGGATGTTTAATATCAGCTCATAGATCTGACAAAATAAAATATCAGAAATCATAAAAAATTTGTATTGGACTACAAAATAATTCAAAACAACATTTTAGCAAACAACTTATCAAATTTGATTTAAACTTACACAGATAAAATGAAACCATTGACCTATAAACTAATGGACAAACTTATAGGTAGAGAAGTTAGTAGTATAATACAGAGTGAGCGAGAAAAGAAACAAAGTAGTAAAATGAATTTGGTTCCTGCAAGCTCCTTCTTTACTTTATGTTCTTTCTCTGTTATATGGTTATATGCTCAACAGGCATTGATGGCAGGTTAAATGCCTATAGATCAAATCAGTAGAATTCATTTAAATTAAAGTTTAACCTAGAATAAAAAGAGTTGATTTTCAAAGCAAATCTTATTTACAACCATTAAAAAGAAGTATATTTTAGTATAAGCTCAATGAGTTGGTCATAATAATTAATTGCTTTAAATAAATATTTCAACAATAATTCTTACTACACCAATTGGTAAATAGGTACAATGTTCTCACTGGCATATTATTATACAATTATAGAGTTATAATAGGTCCATAAAAATACATGTTAATACCTATAAAGAACACATATTGTTTAATCTAAAGAGGGGAAAAAATTAAAGGTAGATAATGTAAATTAAACGGATTGGGGGATCTTAATTAATTTGTTAAAATATATTATTATTTTTATGTATGCACATAAATAAACTACCAATATAAATAAATTTTCCAAAAAATTGTTTATTCTAATATCAATGGAAATAGAATATAAAATATCCCTAAAGCATGGTCCACATTATGTGGAGGGAACTTAAGCAACATAAAATAATGTAATCTTATAAAATTAATTCTGGGGTTAGATTGAAGCATATGTTGTGTATTAACTTAAATGGTTACTCTCCGAGTAAAGATAACACAAAACGCTATGAATATTGATTATGTGGTTGCCGACATTTCAGCAATTTAACTAGGTATTCCATAAAATTACATAAACTGATGAGACGACAAACGGGGAGTTTCAGTATGGTTTTAATAATTTAATTAGACTTGACTTGGTGGTTAATACCTAAGTAGGTTAAGAAAGTAAAAATGTATTATCAAATATATTTACGTAATTAAAGACCAAGAACATTGACAATATAAGTGTTATCTATAAAACGCTAGAGCGATCGTTTACGTTGAATATTTCGTTGGCCACCCGAGGTCGACATTCTGCAAAAACTTACTACCGAAGACGGTATCGACAAGCGAATGGCCGTCGAAATGGGGTGCGAAGTGCAGTCGGAACATGCGGCTTTAGGAAACTCGGTGAGGTCGAGGGTGGAAAAAAATATGACACACACCGTTATGGCCGCTGCCGAAACGCTCAGTTTTCCGACGATGACAAAAGCCCAACTCCCGAAATATTAGCATTAAGGATTCCATATTTCTTATAATATGTTGTCGAACACTCGGAAATGTAATAAAAGTTATAGAGAACCCACTCACCGGAATGCGATGACACGGCGATCGGGTGATGTGCCGTCGGTCCGTCAAGTTGTTGAAGTACTTGAAGTTCGAACGTGTCAGTGGTTATGGCGATTGACTCTCATATCCAACGCCTGCTGCTCGAGAGAATAGGTAGGCGAAGAACAAATAACGACTATAATATTATGTGAAAATATTATATTCAATGTAACGATTAGTTGATTTTTAAATAATAATTTACGTTGAGTCGGGCAGTGGTAGTATGCTGTGCGCATCTGCCCGGATTGCAAAGCAGAATGGTTGTATAAATGAATAAATTGCACAAGATGGCGGACGTTCGACGATCTAACGTACACACGTACGCACGCGCATAATAGCCTACTTTTTTCGTTGAGTAGGATGCACTGAACGAGCGAACAGAGAACTCTTTAGAACTGACCCAGGTGGCCAGGTTGCATTATTAGCATAGAGTTTAGTGGTAGCATAGTGGTACTGTGGTAGGATGACTGTATTGTCTATCCGAGAAGTCCTGAGGTGTTGCCAACGTTCCGATCCAACATTATCCGTGGTTGTAATATTATCGAAAAATACCGAAGCATGTGATTTGGATTTCGGAGTATTTGGCTTTCTAATTTATATTGGAGGGTGGTTAGAGGGGAAAAAACATATGCAAAAAACGGTGTACAAAGCACAACAATACATTTTTTTTTATTTTAAAAAAATGCTGTACGCCTGTACTCTATATGGCCTACACCATAAGTCGTAACATGTCGTATTTAATATTTATCCATACTGTTGCTGTACTCCTGTACACGCATCGACGTAGTATTGAAGTAACTAAAATAAACAATAGTATTAAGAACGTTAATGGTATATTTAATAAATATAATAATTTATAATATAATGTTTTCATTGATTTGTGTGGTGGAAGTTGCGGGTGCGTGGGAGTTTACGAGCGATAACGCAATGTTATGTTCGCTTTTTATCAATTTACGTGTTCTTATCAACACGTAGTTTAATGATTATTATTACTATTATTGTTATAAAATGAAATATATATATATATATGATAATACCTGTAAATATTATGTATTTACGTGAATCACACACACACACGTACGCCCGCACGTACATCATAAACACACACATAAATTATACTTACATGAAATAATAAAAAAAAAACCATTTACCTATTTTACCTACAATTTCCATTGTTTGAACCATGTTCATGACTAATTAATGATACCGACATACCGTTGTTCCTATTTCCGTTTTACGTTACGTTTACGTGCACTCGAATACTCTATACGATGATCAAACTAAATTAATAAGCTGGTTGACTCTCAGAAATCCTTTAATGTAAATGTCTGATGTTTGCTATGTAACTGTATATATCGAACTGAATGTTTGGTGTCAACCGTTAAAGTAAAAGATTAATATATTATTTTAATATTTTCTTGATTCATTAGTATTTTGTGCAATGGAAGACTATAAATTCTTATTTAAAGTAGTACTAGTTGGTAATGCTGGTGTCGGCAAAACTTGTTTGGTCCGTCGATTACACAGGTATATATGGCTCTATTAAAATTTTAAATGATTATTGCATTTTGAGAGCAGATTAATTTAAATTTAATTAGTATATTCTTCTCGCTTTTAAGTCGATTAGGTAATTGATATTGTTTTATTCTGTTTAAAATTAACTGTTACAATTTAAAGATTTTCTGTTCATAAAGGTAGGCATGTAATTACTAATTTTTATCAATTATTAACTTTATTTTATTGTCAAAAATGCTTTGATTAGAACCAAACCAGGTATATTAAAATTTTTAATGTTTTCTGTTTATGTTTAGGGAATGTTTCCTCCGGGTCAAGGTGCAACAATTGGAGTGGATTTTATGATAAAAACAATTGAAATAGACAATGAAAAAGTCAAAGTAATTTATTAGTCAATTCCATATAGTTATGGACTTAATACACTTATCACTACTATAATATAATTTATATGTGTCCCTAAGGTCTATTATAAATTGTATGTTTACATTATATAATAAGGGGATCAAAACTAAGGAAAAATATGATTTATAAAAACATGGTGAACTTAAAATAGTATTGTAACAAAATTAAGCTTATTAATCTTGTGTCAACCTATCTTAAGCTTATTAAAGCTGCTCAATGCACTTAACACATTAATTGGTATAAGTGCGGTATGCTATCTAGAATAAATGAATAATCATGTAGTATGATATTTACTCACCATATTTAACAGTCCCATTTATGGCATCAAAAGTATTTAATTTGGTTATATTTAGCTACCGGTTAAATCTCATTTGGTCTATTCTTAGAATTTATTTTCACCTTGCTACCACACATTGCTTACCCACAATTTTTTACCAACATTAATATATAGTAATAAATCACTAGTTAATTTAGCACAAGTTTCATCATTAAAATTAATTAGATATAATTCATTTAAATAACTAATTTTGAACACATATTCGTAATATAACCTAACTTAACAGGCAACAGAATTATACATATTATGCATTTGTGTGTCAAGCACTGAACATAAACTAATTGAAAATGCAATGATAACAAATTATGAATGTATTAAAATAGTATGGGAAAATGTGTAGATAACTTATTCAAATGTAGATAGTGTACGACATTGATAGATCGCATAATATGACACATGTACTTTAATACGGATTTAAACTTTTAAATAATATGTATAATTTATTATTGTCTTATCCAATAAATATTCTAAATACTAGAACTAGAATAATACCAAACATAATAATTGTTTAGTTTAATAAAAGTAAGTCTGAGCAACAAATTATATTGCACAATTGGTCTTAACTTTACGAATTACACAAGTTTTGATAAAAAAAATTCAAAATGGTGAGGTGGAACAAATGCAATTTCGTTATTTATTTAAATAAATTAATATTAATTAAACTGTTTAAATCACTGTGTAAAGGAAACAACTTAAGCATGTATAAGATAGGACTATAGTGACACATTGTATATGTAGTTTATATCTAAAATCTGCTCAAAATTAATGAGCTCATTGCTGAAATGTAATTTTTTACATCTTATATTCCGCAACTGCAACTGTGACACAATAAAAATATCATTGATAAATAACATTTTCTATATAGGTAATATTAACTAATATTATTTATTATGTGTTGCTATCTTTATTTTATTAGCTCCAAATTTGGGACACTGCAGGACAAGAAAGATTCCGTTCAATTACTCAAAGTTATTATCGATCTGCACATGCTTTAATATTAATTTATGATATAACATCCCAGCCAACATTTGATTGCCTTAATGATTGGCTTCGTGAAATTGATGAATATGCAAACAACAGAGTACTAAGGGTTTTAGTTGGTAAATATTACATTTTTTTAATGATTAATTTTATTTTAAGTATAACATATTACTTTAATATACTAGGTAATAAAATAGACAAAGAAGACCGTGAAATTCCTTCTCATGTAGGTCAAGATTTTGCTCAGAGACATGATATGCGCTATTTAGAAACATCGGCGAAACAAGCAGACAATGTAGAAAAATTGTTTGTTCAAATTGCTTCAGAATTGATGGAGGTAAATATTATTTTGTGAATATTATTTTTGCTATAATAAAACATTAATTAGTATGATATAATTTATATTTTATAGTACCTATTGAGTATTGAGTGAATTATTATAATACACTAATATCTTTAATAGTTATAAAAATAAGCTGTATAACTATATATTTTTAAAATTCTACAAAAATTACATATTATTATATTTAATAATTTAGTGACATGACCTGATTCCTTAACTATATCAGTCCTGGTAGGATTAGGATACTAATATTATATTTGCAGCAGCTCATAGGGTATTTTCTATTAAAACCTCATTTCCTTATATTTTTTACAGCTTTTGCACTATATGGAAAAAAATCATAATTTGATCATTTGAGAATATTTTCAATTATTATATAGCATTTACCTAACCCATACAGTGGCTTAAATTGGGCTAAATTGTTAGGGTTGCAATACATTTCTAGGTTGACAAGAGTTTTGGGGGGCTTAGCTTTATCGTTCGCGGATAAGAAGTAAATACAAGTGTCAAAAATAAATGCATGTTTAAAATAAACAAATAATAATTTTAAACTATGAAAAACGTTTTCACTATCAGCTGCCATTGAGTCGGCCGATCAGAATAAAATATAAATATACGTATTGGTATAATAATAGAAAATGGTTAATAACAAAACTAAATAAATGTGGAAAGGATATTATAATGTTATAATAATTTCAGTCCTTCAAAACAAAGTTAAACATTGGTTCTCAAAATATAAAATAGTTAATTTATTATTATATTGAAATTTCAATTTTTAAAAACTGAAATCGTGATTTTTTGGAGTCGCAAGAAGATATTCTTGTGACCCTATGATATTTTCGACCCCCAGTTTACGCCACTGAACCCATAGGTGATAATAATATACATAGTATATAGTATTTATTATTATCTATGACCTACACAAAGTCCTTTTTTTACTCAATAAAGTTAACAAAATATATCACTGTAAAGCCTATTCTGGACATATCTCAGATTCTACTGTGATCCGTGACAGTTAAAATCTAATTATATTATAAACAATTTTGAATCAGTTTATCTTTCAATACTTATTTTATAACCTACTTGATTTTCAAATTCCAATATGGTTGTAACCATTTATCAAAATAAATGAAAAATAAGTGTATTATAATATTAAACTATGAAGGGAAAAATCCACAATATAATAATTAATCAAATTAGTATGTTCAGAACGCATGTCAAATTAATAACAAAACTTTTGTATGTGTAACTCAAAATAATAAACAACTGTATTAAATCCATTGTTTATTATCATGACCGGCCTATTCAATTCAATGTACAAACAGTTAATAAGAATGACTTATTAGTTATAAGTTAAGCCTGGAATTATTCTTATTATATTGCATTTAGATATACATTCGCTTGTTTGTTTACAATTTATACATTTTGAGCATGGTTCAAAATATCTACACTAAAATTAAACACCTAAGTATATTTTGTCAATTATTGCATATAAGAATCACCTTGTACAGTATTTTAATATTGGTTTTTCATGTCTAATCTGAACTTGGTACCTTCTTCACCTGGGTCTTGGTTTGTCACTCAACCTTGGAAAGTGTCATATAATTTCATTTACTATAAGTCGTTTTCCCATTTTCCATCCATATCGCCTCGGTAACGTCCTTATTGAACGGGTGTTTGTTTTTAAGGACCTCGGGATTTTCTATTCCCCCTCTTTAAATTTCGAGCAACATATCAATGAAATTGTCCCTAAAGCCGTTAAGATCCTAGGATTTATTAAACGAGTCTCAAAAACATTCTTCTCTGCAATTTGTCTCCGCTCACTTTAATTTTTCCTTAGTACCCTCTAAGTTAGAGTATGGTGTTGAAGTTTGGCACCCATACCTAGCCAAAGACCAACTTAGATTGGAAAGGGTCCAAAATAAGTTCCTTTGTATGCAGCTTTCCTATTGAAAATTGACCACCCCGCACATGACTATTCGCTTGTTTGCCAAGCGTTAGATATACAAAGGTATCTGTCTATCCGTCGATTAACTGCTGGCGTTAATTTTGTTTTTTCCCTTAGTGGGACCCTTGATGCACCTACTCTTCTATCTAGTATCCAATTTCATGTTCTGTCCTATCCTACCTGAGATCATGCTCCTCTTTACGTTCCATCCCACTCTTCTTCTTATGGTTACAAACTACCAATGCGGTTGCTTCGGGATCTTAATAATGCCTTGTATTGCTGCTTAATTCTTGGGCCACTTATGCATATATATATTTAAAATTCTTTTTCATCTGTGCACATTTTAATTCCAATCAATTTCTGTAATTACTATATAAGTATAAACTGTATATGTCTTAACATTACTTATCTAATTGCCTAATTGGGCGTGAGTTAATTAAAATAAAATGTCTAGAGAATGGCATTAATGAATATTATAACTTAAAAAATGTATTGTTATTTGTTTGTTACAATTTTAATTATATAATAATATGATTTATTTTATTGTTTAATTATTTAAATATTTTTAATTTTCCTATAGCAAGCTAAATCCAAAGGAATATCTTCAGACAGTCCACAGTCCTTACCATTCAACACTAGAACTTCTAAATCCATCAATGATTACTGTTGCAATCGTTAAAAACTTAATTATCAGTATTATTTTATTATTGTCATTGATATTTAACTGAGCTTATCACAGGGTAAATTGTAATCAAACTAATATTTTGCCTAAAATCAATCCAATAATAATGTTTTTCATAAAAAAAAAGTTACCTGACAGTAACATGATGAGCAAAAATAATTAGTATTATATAGGTTTAGTTTTAACATCAACTGAGTTATTGTTTTCTTTGTTGATATTTTTATGTTTCAAGGTTGTACAAACTACAAAGTGTTGGCATACAAATAAAATGTATGTGCATCCAAAATAAATGTGCTCAAATATATGATCATCAAACTTAATTTAACCTGACAACACTGTATTTTGATCAAAATTAATTGTGTTTTGTTTACAACTAAGAAGTTGTATCAAAATTAACAACTTTCCATGTATTAGATATAAATCATATTTCAAAGTATCAATTTAAACATGTTTTTTATTTTTAACACTTAGTTTAAAATATGTTTGAAGAAAGTTCTTACCTATTAATTGAACATAATTGTTGTTATTAAATAAACGAATGACCTTGTATAATGTACGATTAAAGCAGAATTAACATTTTGTTTAACATGATTTAAAAATTAAAACTATTATTTTGTGTTTTGTTATATTGTATTTTAGCTATAAAATAGTAACTTAACTTATAATTTCTACCAGGAACAAAATGTTGTGTTTATTTTATACTTATTTATTTATATATGTACATATATATTTTTTTTTACAAAATATTTTGTGCAATACTTTTGTTTTACTATTAAAAAATAAGAATTGTATGTAGAGGAATACTAGGATTTATAGCACAAAACATTTTTTTTTTTTTATATTTGGTATTGTTAATTTGCTGTTATTATTATTTAATGTTTTATATTAATAATAACTGGGTTTAAAAATTACCTTGTTTTTATCTTCTTATTTTAAATGTTATAAATATTATGTATTATAAATTATTTGTTATTACTTATTTTATTAATTTTTTCTAATTATTCATTATTCTTCTAAAATGAATTGTTAATATAATTTACTTAAGGATAATAATATTATGTCAGCATTTTCATTTGGAAATATATTTACAATATACAATAATACATTATTTTAGTATTCAAGTATGTACATTCATTTTAAAGGTTACAAAATTGTTTATTTCATATTTAAGTCATACGTCATAAAAATTTGAACACCAATTAAAAATAAAAACTGACTTATTACTGATAAATAATAAAGTTAAATTGTTTCATGACTTAATATCAATAAACATAATTATTAAAATAATTTTGATTGTAAATTGTTTTGAATGTTTATTTCATTTTTGAAATTTGTTTATAGTTTTTAAATACAAATTATTTTTTAAAAGATTTAATAATTACCTAATAAATCACAGTTCTAATACTATTTTATTGTTTTTTTTTCAAGATGTAAATTAATATTCAAGTTTTTCTCATGATGAAACTAATTTATGTTCTGTGTCCATTTAATTATATTTTTTTTTTTTTTTAGACTAACTATTAGGTATCGCTGTATCGGGCTATTGTAAATTGCACCCACAGTGAACAGGTAGTAACAATATTATAGTATATTGTGCCTATGGTATCTAATAAGTAACTTTGGAATTCAATGAAATCTATTTTAAATACTGGCATACTGCTGCACATTAAACATTTATTGGTGTTAAGTGTAAATAATGTATTTAACAACTTGATATGCATACCCATATTTATTTTTTTGTAATTCAAACAAAAAATTGTTTTTGGAGGACAGTGATGAGTACCCTCTTGGTATCCTCTAGATAATGCTAAATGACTATCATACAAATAATATTACTTATAAATTAAAATTGATAGTCTTTACTTCATACAAATGTATTGGATGCATGTACCTATAAACTAGTTAGTTTGGTTAGTTTAGTACTTAGTTTATAGGTCTATGGTTGATAGGGTCGGTTCAAGCGAAAATAGTGCACTAAGCAAAATTATATTTTGCCGCCCCTAAAATAATATTATCACTGTTTTGAAAATGTGGGCCTATGTCGCCTACCCCTTGAGCTGGGCCTGATGACTGAATACAGTTTACAATTTTTTTCCATTCGTTTGGCACAATTTACGTTTGTACGTATTATTATTTATTTATTTATATAACAGGCACAAGGCCCAAAGGTGCAATTACATTTTACATATAATTAAAGAATTCAATAAATGACAACAGAAAGTAATTAAATTAACAGTTTATATAACTTAAAGAATACAACATTTTGAAGAAATTATCAACCTAACCAGTAAGCGTGTGCAAAGTGCAGATTATGGCATCATCAGATTAATCCGGCCCATTTTTCAATAGTTCTTATGTTTATGCCATTGGTATAAGTTTTTGAAATAGGGCACACGTCTTATTCATACCAATTGCATGCTCTTCAATAGTGTAGGAAAAATTAGAAAGTTATTTTGTTTTTAATTTAGCTGCTATACTAACTATGGGATTATTGGAGGGAAATAAATAACCACATAATATAAATCCAAAGGGGCTATCTCAGTGGAGGTATAACCCCAAACATGTTCTTGTATAATATATACTGGGTGATTCTTTTATCAAACAACACTCAATATTTCAAAAAGTGTAAATTTTTTTGAAAATATTTTTTTACATAGTTTCAAGTCGCTTATAAAACAACGTTTTTATTAAAAAATTATATTTTTAAATATTTTTTATTCTTATAATTTTTTAAGTTTTTTACTTTTTTGAATAACAACATAGGGTTTTAATTTAATATTCCAAAGCAGAATATTTTTCTTAGTATTTTGATACATGAAAATCGAATTTGGGTTGAGTAGTTTATGAGTTATAAGTATTTAAAGTTTAGACTAGCGGAGTGGAGTGGTTCGGGGTTACCCCGCGAAATGTTTGTCCACTTCACCGATCGTCTAAACTTTAAATACTTATAACTCATAAACTACTCGCCCCAAATTCAATTTTCATGTATCAAAATACTAAGAAAAATATTCTACTTTAGAATATAAAATTAAAACATTATGTTGTCATTCAAAAAAGTAAAAAACTTAAAAAATTATAAGGATAAAAAATAATTAAAAATATAATTTTTTAATAAAAAAGTTGTTTTATAAGCGATTTGAAACTATGTAAAAAAATATCTTCAAAAAATTTACACTTTTTGAAATAATGAGTGTTGTTTGATAAAAGAATCACCCAGTATATATGTATATATAAGTAATTATTATTGTATAATACTACTTATGTATTACTGTTATTATACTGTATTCACCCACAATGTATTATATTTATAAAGACTTATGGTCATTTAAATAAAGATGCCTCAGGAAGTTAAAAAAAAAAAATAATAATAATAATTTAAATCCAACATTTTGTTGAAAGATATGGACCATATCTACACGTTTTCTAAAAAATATATAATGTATATAATGTATATAAAATCAGTGGCAGACTGAACTTCTATTTTAAATGACGCATTTTCATAATCAAGTACTTACCACCACCACCACCATCCTATTTTTACTTAAAACAAAGTTTTGATGTAGATAAAATGTGATCAAAAGAGCCAAGAGGTCAGACTTAAGCTTGTAATTCTTCGCCAAAGCCACGGGGTGGCACCACCCACCTTGAAAAGTTGACAAAACTGCATATAATTGTGTAAATAGGTATAATTGTATAGACATATTTCACTGTGGTCTGCAGCCCATCATTCAATATTTGACAGCTGAGGCTGCTCGGAAAAAAGTTTAGAGGTATAATATTATATGCTGCCCTTGTGCGCACTACTATTGTGATAATCATTTATTACTAAATATGCAACTAATAATCATGCTAACATGCAGACATCTGTACCCTATGATAAATCCATTCTGCTTTTTATATTTCAATTTTCATTCAGGATAAATGTAGGAATCTAATTTTTTTTTTTGTTTTAGCTTCATGAACAGAGCAATTGATTTACCAATTTTAGAATGTGATTTTTTTTATTCATGTATTTTTATACGATAAGTAGTCAAAATAATGCTTCGATTTTTAACTTAATTAACTTATCTGGTGGGAAAGTGAATCTAGTAGGTCAAAATTTGAAAATGTCTAGTTATTATGATAAGCGTTGGGAAACAAAATGTAGTAACAGACATTATTTGCAAAATTAGTTGTCAACAAAATAGATTCTGTTTTTTGGTGTAGATATTTCAAAAACAAATAACCAATAGCTTCATGAAATGTTCACAAAATGTATTTATTAGTATTTTCTAGACGCCATTTAAAATATATTGACTTTTTGAGCTATTTATACTTTATAAATTTACACATAAAAAATTTTCGATTTTTATTAGTTTTATTTAACTATTGTAAATTCACAGTAATTTTTTAGGAGGATCTGAAGTTAGAATTTTGACAAAATTAATCAAAATCACAAACATTTTACAAATGATATCTTCACCAATTCCCCTCCTATCACAACGTACAGTCATTAACTACTGTAGATACATACACTGTATACCAGAGCAGTTATCTACTTTTCTGGGGAAAGTTTCCCCTTTTTTAAGAATTACAATATATAATAATTAAGAATAATAATAATAATAATAGTATTAATAATAAATAGGGACTTCCACAAAAATACAATAGTAAATACAAATATAAATCATTATCTCACTGCAAAACAAACAGATACTTTAAATTTATTACTAATAACTTTTTTTAGTATTATACAATTTTACTAGAATATTTAGTTTTTTTTAAGATATAAATACAATTATTGATAATTAAATCAGTCTTTAATTATACTGAATAAGTAATAACTTTTAGAATTTAAAAAAAAAAATTAAAAATTAATAAATAATTACAAAACTATTCATTTATTTTTAAAAAATGTTTTATCATAACCATAGAAGTATCATAAAGTTGTTTTTGTGCGTCTTTATCATCAGCATATGGTAAATATTTTGCAGGTTGACAATTTGCATAGTAACCACCACATCCTTCTAATTTTGGAGAAATACAAGCATAAGCAACACTTCGTGACCCTTCTTCTGGTGTCTGAAGTTAAAAATATATATATAAATAATGTACAAACAAAAAATGTATTTATATTATACTTTGCAAATGTAGTTCAATATCCATGGCATTATCATTTTCAACAATGTTCCATTGAATAATTCTGTATTTACTACACCAGGATGCACAGCCAAAACTTGAACATTAGTATTTGCTAGTGTTTTGTTGTAATATTTAGTTGACATTAGTTGAGCTAGTTTAGACATTGCATAAGCTGCATTTGTAATATAACCTTGACTAAAAAAGTAAGTAATACATACAATAAAATTAGTATATTTTCAATTTGAAAAACATTTTAAAATCATATTAACTGTATTATCTAACCTGTTACTAATGGAGCCGAAATTAATTAAAGGAGAAGCTTCATGAGCACAAGAAGAAACATTTATTACTCTTGCATGCTCATTTGTCGAACCTGACATTTTTAGAGCTGGTAATAATAATTCTGTTAGTAAAAAATGACTCAAATAATTTATAGTCCAATGTGCTTCATAACCATCTTCACACTTTTCATATGGTACAAACATAACTCCAGCTATAAAACAAGAAATATATAATATATGTAAATATATATTATATTATATATATGTAATATGTTATTGGAACACTATACTCTGTCCAACAATAAAGCGGAACTCAGTCACATATCTAAATGAACTAGCTCGCCGACTCGTGGTCTAAATTTTCCCACCACAGGTTACCTGAATGTTTATACTACGATAACGCCACACAGTCTAGTCACAGGGGCCGGTATTTGACAGCTGACGCTCGCACTGGTTAAGTGATGGAAATATGGCAATAAACGAGTTTTTGTCAATGCTGGAATGCGTTCTCTCGTTGGACAGAGTATAATGCACCAATTATTATTTATACTTATAGGACAAATCATCTGATTGATAAAAACTAATAAATCCACAAACTCTAAATGTAAATAAGTCTGACCACTAAATTCTGATTGCACCAATGTTCTTAACTTGGTGAAATATGTATGTTAAAATTAAAAAAGAAAAATTACACTGGGTGCATTACATATATATATAATCTAAGGATAGTAAAAATTAAATTTATTTTTATTTAACTATGACTAATGACGTAAACAATGTATTTAGTCAATAACAACAATTTCTGTTCAGAATTTGAAATTTTAATACTCTAATCATATTTTAGATTCTGAGCAGAACGATGAATGTATTGATTTTACAATGATGTGTTTTTTTATTTTTTATTTTTGTGTCTGGGTACACAATATGTAGTCGAAATAATGCTTCGATTTTCAACTTCAGTATCTTGTTCGATTGGAAAGTGAATATCGTGGGTGCATTGGGAAGGTCAAAATTTAAAATTCCCAGTAATTTTTAAAAGAAAAATTAAGGAAAATCGATTTTTCACAAAATTGAATTTGGTTTTTGGTGTAACTTTAAGTAGATATATGAAATTTTCACTGCTTGTTTATATTTGCATTTTCTATACACGATAACATTTTCAAAATATTTTCAACTGTTAAGGGACATTTTCATTTTCCATTTTTTTTCTAAAAACATCAATAAAATTTTATTTGTTGGTTAAAAAGCTTGAAAATTTAATGGAAGGCAGATAGTATATTGTTTCAAAGGCATATGAAGTATATTAAAAATCCTTAGTCACAGTTTTTTTCTTATAAGCATTTTAAGTTCGAAAATTGACAAAATATGGAATAATCACGAAAATTAGCAAATTATTTTGAGTTAAGAATTTGTAAAAATTTTTTTTTTTAAATCTAAGATTTTAAAATGTAATACAAGATTCCTTATAAGATTATCTACCTTTATCAAAAAAAAAAAAAAATTTCCATAAGAAAGCCAAATTAAATTTTTGTTAGAGTTTGAAATTCAAATTTTTACAAACCTATCAATCTAAAGCTCTAAGACAAATCACTAAAGCACCATATTTCGTTTCCAACCACACACTACAAAAGATTTCACAACCGTCTCTTAAACCATAGAAACCCACTCATGCATGATATTTCTTCCTTGACTATCCCCGGAAATCCTCCTAAACGGCTAAAGCGCAAATGGTGTAGAAACCTTAAGTATGTTTTTTTTTTCTCTCTTTAATGTAGTACCTCCAATGGGAGACTTCTACAATCGGTTGTATCTACTTTGTTACTTTTATTATTCATCAATTGTTCTTATTGTTCTTTGTGTAACGGATTTAATAAAACCTTTAATAAACAAACAAAAAAAAAAAAAATGTTTACAACATTGGATATTCACTTGATTTCTCGTGTAGCGATTTCCTTATTTTGTTTTAATTTAAAAACAAATGACTGTAGATACATGAAAATTTCACTGAATGTTTATATTCGCATTTCCTATACACTATACCATTTTGAAAATATTTTGACCCTTTTTGAGCTGATTAAGGACATTTTCGATTTTCAATTTTTTTAGTTTTTTTTCTATAAATATCAATAAAATTTTATCTGTTGGGCCAAAAAGTGTAAACATTGAATACAATGCTCCTGATATATTGTTACAATAACAATTGAAAAATATTAAAAATATATAGGTACAAATTTTTATTATAAGCATTTAAAGTTGGAATTTTGACAAATTTTATCAAAATCTCGAAAATTACCAATCATTGTAATATTAATAAATTACAAAATGTTCAGTTTTTATAGCTAAGGATTTAAAATTTAAAACAAGATTCCATGTAAGTAGTTAATTCTGTTACGAAAAAAATTTAAAAAATACACAAGCACAGTTTATTTTTATAGTCATTTTAAGTTCAAATTTGGACGAAATTACATATTAAAAAACCTAGAATAATAATTTTAGCTATTTTGTTGTAATTTTATAATATTATTTGTGGGTACTTGAATTTTTTAAAGTGTACTATTATATATCTATGATAGTATCACGGTTTGTTGTTGATGTATAACCATAGACCTATTAAGAAAGGTTCTAATAGGTCTATGTGTATAACGCATTATAAGTACCTAATGGATATTGTGATATGATTAATTTGGAATTTATTATAGGTACCTAGAATAGGTCCATTTTTTTTAATACCATAGATATGTATACAATATCTTAAATCTAGACTGACATACCGTTTCCACTCAGAATCGTTTTTCTTATACAATGATATTATATTATTGAATTCAAATTGATTTATTGATTTAATTGATTTCAAAACACCATCCATTACAGTGACCCACTTGTAACCTACTGTACAGCAGAGCGACTTTTTTTAAATCTAATTTTTATCATAAACTAATACAAATAAGAATAGCATAGCTACAGACACAGGAGAATTCTAGAAGGTGCTATACAGGGTGTCCCGTGAGGATTTACTCATTGCGATATCTCCTGAAATAATGGAGATATCGTAATTATGTTTTTTTATTAAGACTCGCAGAGGTAAGCACTACAAATATTTTATTTTTTAATTAAATTAAATTTTTTAGTAAAAAAGTTAAAAAAATTATTTTTTATTTTTGAAAAAATGAAGATAGCCATTCTATAGAGTATATTTTTGTGAACATTTTGAGCTTTTAACATTTTATTTTCATTAATCTCATGATTTTTAATAATTTTTTTAGTTTATTAGTAAAACGTCAATAAACTGGTTTTTGTCCGGGCGGCGAGTCCCCCTCTACGGCTAATGAGTTTATTATACAACCTCCATGTTTCAAGTGATCTAAATATTTCGTAAAGTATGGGATATAGGTACTATAAATATATTATAATTTAAGCAACAATTTAATTTTGTCTCTAGTTGTGATCTATGAACTAATATAATTAAATTTTAAGTTTACCATTATTTACAAGTATATGAATTTGATCATGATTGGATAATACTTTTTGAGCAAAACTTTTTACTGAAGTAAATGATTTAAGATCAAGTTCATATATTTCAATAGATGCATCAGACGAAATATGCTGTTGGATTATTTTTTGACCTGTCTTCACATTGCGGCATCCTAAAAATTAATCAAAATAATATGAAAATTTGTATTATTTCAAAACATAATTGTTTTATTTATATTTCATTCATGACAGACCTACGGGCTACGGCCCAATTTTTTTATATATACAATTTACATGGATTAATATAAAAATATTTTATTAAAAAAATACTTTGTATAGATCATGTTTTTAAAATCCAGTAGGTAGCCGGTAGGTATTCAATTTAGAGATGTTACGAACTGTTCGATTTTCAAACTGAGCAAAAATCAAACAGGAAATTCCAAATATTTGAATCAAACCAAATACCCAAAAGTTTGGTTCGATAATCGAACCAGAGAAATAAAAATAAAAGTCAGTTCTATAAGGTTTCTACTAGGTATCACTAATCTAAAATCTTAAGACAATAATTCTGTGGTGTGGTGGCTAAATGATAAATAAATATTAAATATTAAATAAAATAATATCCAATTTTGACTATTTAATGTTTGGTTCGAGTTTGATAAAATATTTGAAGAGTTCGGTTCGGTTCGGGTTCGATTAAAAGTGAATAAGTTTGGATCTGTTCAGGTTTGTTAATTTAGGGAAAAGTTTGGTTTGACCTTAAATATTATGGCTCGTAACATCACTAGTATTCATATTCTTCATATTTTTATAAGTTAATAGACATTGTAAATATATTTATAATAATATTATTATTAAACATAATATACTAACACTAAATAAATATTTAATAGCAAATGAAGATTACCAATTACGATATGCATCTCACATTGAACTAGTTTCTTAACTACTTCCAGACCAATACCTCGAGCTCCTCCAGTTATAACAGCTACCTTTCCTCGTTTCTTGATAATTTCTTTAATACAAAAATCGATATATAATTTATTATTGATAACTTCATAATTGCATCAAATACTCTAAATGTATTAATGTATTGAAACACATTTTATAGTCTTACCAAACTTATTTTTATCACGATTTTTTAAATCATCAAGAACAGCAAAAATTCCCAAAAAATAATAACAAATTTGATATTGTATTATTTTAAAATATGTTGACAGAATTTGAAACATTTTTTATTTTTTATACTTTTTTTTATTTTTTATTGAACTTTAATAGACAACAATTAATATTAAACAAATGTCTCTAAATACTAATTTCTATAACATAGAATACACGATGTATAGTAATAATGTTATTTAGTAATAAATTATTAACAATATTATTGTAATTTAAAAGTTGTATCCTTTGAAATTTGAATAGTACAAAAGCTTTCTCTTTCTGAGAAATGTTCTGATATAATTTAAACAACCTTTATAAAAATAAAACTATAAAAGTAAAATAATCAGTGCAGGAACTGTTTGCTTTGCACTTTGCTGTAACGCACAGAGTGAAAATTCAGTGCAGTGTGCAATGAATCATGAATGATTCACTTACAGAATTTGCCATTCGGTAAAATATCAATATGCAACTATGCAAGTAAACTATACTAAATAGTAAATAGTAATTTCTAAATTCTAATCAATAATCATGGGTCTTGGGAATAACGAATTATATAGGACAAATAACAGTAGGGGTATAGGACATTCATAAAGGTGAACACTGAACGGCATAACTGTATATACAGAGTGATTCACTGAGGATGCCTAACATCCTTTCCATGAATTTATTTAAAATCTGTTTTGGACACGAAGAAAGATATACCTATTTATTATTCGTGGACCGTGGTTTTGGGCTTTTTATGAATACGGCATAAGCAATCTAGGCAATAAATAAGCACTCAAGTATTTATGAAAATCTAGTCTGTTCATGTCTTGAATATTTCAAAATCAAATAAATGCAATTAAATTGTGTCCATGCTAAATGAATCATTCTGTATGCATATAATCTAATAAATTATGTAAAATAATTTCGCACAATTGGCTACCCTACAGCCAGTAAATCACAAGACAACTCGGTCAACTACAAGAACCACGATCAACGAGACAACTACAACACTGCAGTAACTATTTTGATATGATGGTTATTTACTATTTTGATTTTAGTTCCTAATGGAGCAGAATTGAAAAATTGTGATCCGCTCAACAGCTGTTTGATACTTTGATAGTTTGATCATCTGTTTTTGTACCTTTTCTCTCTTTTTGTTGTTGTTTCATTTCATTATAACCAAAATTTGATCATCCGTGTTTGAAGAGATTTTCTTAAAACAAAACACCGCTCGCCGCTCCGAGGAGCGAGTTCCGTTGCAAATATAATACTGTTCAATATTTCGGTCACCGTTTACCGTACGATCTTGATCTCGGCACCGTCCTCAAAAGGAACTCAGGGTATCGTTGAATCCGGCTGCTTATACACACCGGTATACTTATTTAAGACAAACGGCTCGGTAGGAACGAATTTCAGAACTCTTCAAAAATGATTGTATCATGCAAATGTCTGAACATCCAAATTGAGACCAAAGACGAGCCGATCAAATTTGATAAAAGTTTGTTGGGCGGTGGTTTCTTTTCAAAGGTAAAAATCGACTTTTGCCATTTCGAATTGTATACACCCATCGTAGCTGCAACTTTCATATTTTTCTTTTAGGAGTTGCTGTGTAGCGAAGTGATTGCTGTCACTAAGCGTCAGGACTGTTTGATTCTCGAAGAAAGAGCCTTTGGGTGGTTTATATACAAATGTCTCAACTGTGATATCCTGTGTTATGCTGTATCTTCAGATAAAAACATACTAACAGTTTTGATTAGTCCCGAATTATTGGTAAGATTAATCAGCAAATAGGTTCAATTAATTGTGATTTGCTATTTAAATTTTCATCATAATATCAACAAGGTGAAAATTTTTGGTTGAAAACTAAATTAAATATAGATCATATATATGGACGGCTGTCACATTAGTATTTAGTATGATATCATTTTACTATGTAATTTATAAATTATATCTCAAAAATATATATAGTGGATTCTGCTTAATTTGGTCCTGTCTGGACCTAACTAATTTGCCCACATTAAGCGGTTGGCCATATAAACCAAAATTAGTTAGTTAGTATTCATGAATTGAAACCAGACCATTTTTCCTATATCACGCAGCTGCCCATATTAACTGTTGCCCACATTAGGCGGAATCCACTGTAGTATTAAAACATTTTATAATGATGATAACTCTTGTCTATCTATGTTTGGGTACTATAATTATTGCTTAGGTACTATAAGATTTTGAGTACAGCAGAACTATTGTTGTTTTACTGGGCTAAAAAATTTACTATGCATCATGTATCAAGGTTGAAAATTGAATTCTATTGCTAGTTAGAAAAAACTAGTTTATCTACTTTTTCAAAGAAATCTTCTTAAGTTAAGATAATTAAAGTAGGTACCCAGTTTTTGAGATCTTAACCTTTTTCGGCAAGATAGATTGCTTCAAATCTTTATTTTAAAAATAATTCACCTGTACACCAGACAGTATCCCTCTCATCACTTCTATCATTCATTCTAAGTATACATTTAACTATTATTATTAAACCTCATAAAAATAAATAACTTAATGTATTTTACTATCATTAATAAAATTAAACTAAAAATAGTAAATTTAATTCAATAATTTTTAAAATATTTCATTTAATAAACAATAATTATCAAGTATTTATTTGTTTAAAAATTACAAGATTAATGTTCTTATTCTCCCATTCTAAATATTCTTCAGTTCTATTAAAACTAAGTACCTACTAATTGACAAGGTTGGTCATTAACAAGTTAAAAAGTTAAACTGAAGTTCAAAAGTTTATTTAATTTTAACTTCTTAACTTAACTAGTTACTTTTGGCTTTTCACTAACTTAACTCTTAACTTACTAAATTCTTTTTATTAACGTACAATTAATGTATTAATTTTTCATTTTAAGAAGTAGGTAAGTTAAGTTAATTTATTTTTTTATTAATTTTATTATATTTCACTATTTCAGTCTATTAAGTTTTCATATCAAAAAATATTTACCATGATATCCTTTGAATCTAACTTATATCGAAATATACTGTATAAAGTTTAAGCATTATAGTCTATAATTTAGTTTAGGGTTGGAAAAAAATTAAGTACTCTAGCATTGCATAAACAAATTAACTTTTTAAACAAAAAGTATGTATGAACTTGTAACTTAACTGAGTTAACCTAGTTAAAGTAACTTTAACTTTTGTTATTGATGCATATTACTAAAAATAGTACAAACTATACAACTAAAAAATATCATTAACTTGTCCAGCCTTGCTATCATTGTATTACCTTCAATTATTGATAAATTAATAGATTGTAATAATTAAGTTGAAAATTTTCTTCTATTTAGGTAACATAATAACAATCGGATAGTTAATTTATTTATTAATTTTTATTTCTTTTACACTCATTTTTCTATATAAAATATACTAAATTTGTGATATCAAGAATTTATATATACAAGTTTTTGTTGTTTTGTCTCCATTTGCAAGTGCAAAACATAAAAATATGTATGTTAAGTTATTTTTGTCTTGATTATTTTAATATATGAGCTAATTTACCTATTATTAACTTATTTCTAAAACCTATACCGTTGTAAACAATTATTAAACCAAGGTATTTTGTCTAGTTATTTGGAATTTTCTTTTTAATATTTTAATTTGAATTAAGTATATAAGTGTGTAAATTATTATAATTTCAATTTTCTCATACCTTGCTTTAGAATTAAAGCATTAAACAAACCATAGAAAATGTTGTTATCTTTAAGTTTATAATAGGGTAAATTTACTCTAATATTAATATTAACAAAGTAAGTAAGAACAGAAGATTTATGTAGATAATATGAAATAAAAAATTCTTATAACATATTATTAATGTATTGTATCCAAGATTACAGGCTAATTAATCACTTGTTTTTGTATTAAAATACTTATACATGTCTGATATATAATGCAACACCCAGAGTTTAAAATATATTTATTTTAAGATGCACTGATACATTTTGAATAGAATCATGGTATAACTTTTAAATTAAATACTTTTAGGACCGTTCTTACTATGTCCGGTTAAGTTACCGACACTTAACCGGAAGAATTCTGCCGGTAATAAAATCTGTTATCAGTCGGTTAGCGTTAACCGACACTTTACCAGACATTGTAAGAACGGCCTTAGTTCATCTTTGAATTAAAAATAATAATATTTTATTTAGAAATATCATAGAGAATAACTAAAGTATTACAATGATTAATACTGTGTATTAAAATGTATATTCTTATTGTATACAACCCTTAATATACTAATACACATTTCTCCTAAGCAAAATAAGCAACATTTCATGTAATCGATCATCGTAAACATAAATTTAATTGAATATGAAATTAGTATTTTTTTTATTTTTTTCTGTTTTAACCTTAATATATATTATATATCTGTGTGTAAGATAACTACCACCTGAACAAGTACATAGGTCATTAATCATTATTTATTTATGAAAATCAATTGTTGAGTAATATGACTTTTACAGCGTTCGGTAAAAACTAAAAATATCGAAACCAAAATAATGTTTTCCTTTAGCGATTTTACTCTATTATTAATCTATAAATTAATAATAATAATATAATCAAATCTCTTTAATCTTAGCGCACATGGTGTTTACAATTTGTTATGTGTAACAGTGACTAGTTAAGGCCTTGGACATTAATGTCATCCTTATTTCTAAAAAATTATAATATTTAAAGTCTAGCTGTAAAATGTAATTTATTCACTACTATGACATTCCAGAATTTCTGTTTCGCTTTTGAATTATTATTAAGATGTATGTTAAATCAGACATTTGTTATGATTATTTTAAAATTTTAAATTGTTTGTACATCCTAAAATACTCAAAACCTTCTTTAAAATTAAAATATAATAAAAAACCCCTAAGTTACCCTAGATCTTACCTTTAAATTTTATAAGAGGTCAATTTACTCTATTTTTAAACTAATATAGCTAAACGTGATCTGCTGAACATAAAATTTAATATGTTGTGCACTTGTAAGATGAAGACAACTAATGTCTGTGTAGCGTCTTCTTAATATGTATATTTTTCTTCAAAACGTTAATGAGTATTTATTACCTGAGAAAAAATATATTTTATGAATAAAATATACAAGTAGTATCGTTTTTAAAATTTCATTGGCCACTCATTTACCCCCTTTAGTGACTGATAAAATCACCCTTCTTAAGTAATTATCTACATTTTTCTATGTATTAAAACTATTTTATATATATCTAGTTACTGTGGGAATCAAATACTGATTGTTATTTAAATTAAATTTTTCTACTCTCTTGAATTTCCATATTTTTGATACTACCAGTGAAATAAAATTTCCTAGAAGTATTAACTAGACCACTTGCTGTTTATAGATAGAGCTCATGATATTTTTTCACTGCCAAATCTAGTTTCACTAAAAAGAAATGGAACAAGTTTAGGTAAAACCTAAAACCAAGACCATTATCCCTCAGAAAAATAATAAAAAATAAAAACAATTCAATTTATATGTGACCTTTTTTTTTCCTTGTTTAACTGACAGTAGAGGAGGAGACTCTGTTTGAACAATACTACTCCTCAACTGCCATCGTTTATTTGTGGATAAAATTTATATGGGACCTAAAGTAGTCAGTACTCACTTAATAATACTTTTTTCTCCTTATAATTTTTAATCGTTATTCATAAATTATATAGTTTTCTATATCTCAATTAACCCTGTTTAATTATGTATAATTTTATTCACAGACTGATCCAACACAAATACAAGATCTAAAAAATTCAGAGTGCTTTTCACCAATTTATGAAATTGTTATTAATTGGACTGATTCTAATCAATTATATTCTCCACGCCTATCTGGTAAATACCTTTTATTAAAATTGTTTAAAGCATAGAAGAAAACATGTAATTTTTAGGTATAATTAATTTCAAAATATGAAAGCAAGATTAATCACGCTATTAGTTATTTTTAAATTTATACTTTCTATTGGTCTTATGATTTTGCCACTCGGTTTTCCACAACGTTGAAAAATCTTGTGTTTGAGACAAAATTGGCGCATAAATGATTTAAAATAACAAAGTCCTATTCTTATAACTTATTTTCCAATTTGAGAATTGGATGTAAACAATTAGCAAAATATGACTGTTTATCTTACTTAACTTCTGTTAAAACTATCGTTTATATTCCAAAAAAGTATAAAGGTTATATAAAAAGTAAGAAATTTGAGGAACTTCCCAACGGTAAGTATGTACCTAAATGATCTTTCAATTGAAGATGGGAAACTTAACTGGGCTAACATTATTGGGTGGGAAACAGGACTTATAATGGACTTGTGAAACTATTATGTTCAAGGTTATTATCAAGAGAGATAAAGAGACGTTTGTATACCAGCCTAATACGACCAGTGATATTGTACAATTCAAAAACCTTGGCACTAAAGAGGAAATCAGATGAAAATAAATTGTTAACACTAGAAAGGAAAATTTTACGGAAGATCTTCAGTGAAAATAAAAGATCTCAGGAGAGTGGAGAAGAAGGAAAAACAGAGAGCTACAAGAAATGTTTAATGAAAATAACAGTAGAGACAATCAAGAAAAGAATGCTGGGCTGGGTAGGACATACAATGCGGAGCCTGAACTCTACTAAGAATGGTGTTGTTGGAACAGAATCCAGTAGGAAAAAGACCATTAGGAAGACCAAATTGAGATGGGAAGATATAGTTAAGAGGGATATAGAAGAATTAGTAGGCGGAGTAAACTGGAAGGATTTGGCAATGAATGGAGATGACTAGAGAATTGGTTGTGAAGCGGGATGGTCCTAGCTGCCGAACAAACCAAAAGAACAAAAATAGACTAGAGTACACAGTACAAGACTTCAAGTCAAACAGGACCCAAGATATGCATTAAGAGGATGTCAGCACACAACTTGTTTTCTCTCTCTGAAGTCTGAACCATGTACTAACCTAACTTGGAAAAAATTCATTGACTCAAAATTATTTTTTGTTTTATGTTTTTGAGTAATGTAAAAGAAACCATTACAAAAGTTATACAGAATAATATTGTTGAGGGTATGACATCAATTTGTCTAAATATTCTCTCAAAACAATTTAATATCCATTTAAATTTGGAAAAAATTTTTATTTTTTAAGTCAAATAACAATAATCTGTATATATAAATAGTATATAAAACCGATATTTCAGACCCTCAAAAATATTACTCTGTATAATTTTTGTAATAGGTGATTTAACTGAAAAATAGAGGTTACTCAAAAAATTGATTTTATATGACTGCGTTTTATCCATGTTGCTCATATGTTTGAGAGAAAAAATATATTGTTCTGAAAATAAAAAGGGATTTTTTAATAAAAAAAGCTGTTTCTCATAGAAGGTGATGGAAAGTTAATAACCTCAGAAAAGGATTATATAGCTGAAAAATGGATAAAATATTGGCATACTAAATTATGGAGAGCCAACCAAGAAGGTTTGCTTTATTTTACAGAATTTAAATACACAAGGATATTCAATCCCGACTTGAGAAAAAATAAATTTACAAGCGCAGATATTAAGAAAATTAAAAATTCCCAGGAGAAGATTGTCTGCAAGTGATACTCTTAAAAAGCTACTAAAAATAACTTTACAATGGATTAGACAAGTGTCTTCCGTGACGTAGCCACCCTCACCTTACGTCTCCTGTTTTGGGTTTTTTAACCCCCTTGCTTTCCCCCCTCTAATAAATGTATTATTTATTTTTTGAGAACTATAAAAACTTAGTTTAATTTATAATAAAACTTCCTACCCCATTTCATAATCCTGGTTACATTACTGAGTTATTAGCAGAATCTGGATAACACAGAAACTCCCAGATGTTTGGAAATTTGCTTTGGTAAGTCCAATAAACAAGAAAAATGATAAATAAAAATGTAACAACCAACTGAGATATCTTATATAATTTAAAAGTAGCATAACAAAGTATTTTTGAACTGTATTTTAGATATAACTAAAGAAAATAAAGACCCTATTACTATGGGAGAATATCAAGTAGGTTTTGGAGTGAGAAGATCCACAATGGACCAGATTGTATGCTTCTTAATTATAAAATAGTATCAAACAACTTGTGCATATGTCAAAACATTGCAACTTTTCGTGGACTTTAGAATAGCGTACGTTAGTATCTATAAAGAGAATCTATTGGATATCTTGAAAGAAGTACATTGTCTACAAAAATTGGTGAAGGTTCAAGTGGGAAACAGAAAAACTGACCCGGTTACAATGAACAGTTAAGGCAAGACAAGGAGAGACTATTGTCCATTTAGTTCAACATGGTTTTGGAAAATGTGATTAGAGAAATGAAAATGGGAACTTATGAAGGTATAATAAGACAGCCGTATGTTTACTAGATTATACAGATACTATTGATGGAAGAATATCAAGACAAATTGAAGATATTACCCAGTAGACTTAATACATTTTCAATGAAAGTACATGTAAGAGAAGAAAAAACTAAGTACATGATTTTGAGAGTACAGAACTTTGACACGGATAAGGCAATATGTGGTGACGCAATCAGCCGATTTTCGCTTGTTGAGTGGAGATGTGGTGACACTTACACGTAAAAGAAATTTACACAAAACTGTATATGACGAGATAGCTCTGTGGCTTGTTTATTCCGGACAATTTATGTAATGAATTTCCATAACTTAATATGCTAATGTATAACGCAATATACTGTGGTCGCCGATAGTGCTGTTTTTCGAAAACGAGGGGTGGGTAATCGGTTCATAGGCAAGAGAGTACCCGCCGGCGGTTGATACTCGTTTTGTGCGACTTGCCTTCCCGTCCTGCCATGTCCCTTTGCGGCGGGGTGGGAGAGACGATAGTGTCACGGTGTTGTAGCCCGTGGTGGCAGTTGACAAAAGTGCAAACCAGTCTCTGCGGTACCTGTACTCTGTACTGGTTGCCGCTGTGTAGCGTGTCAACTTACCACTTGGTCAGTCCATAAAAATAGACCGGTATGAATTCAAAAGCGTCGATCAATTCAGATACTTAAGTACTAAACTAACTGATAAAAATGAAATAGCAAATGTGGAAGGTGCAAGAATTCAAGTGGGAAATAATTCCTTTTATTAACTCATAAAGTTGCTAGAGTCACAAACATGATCAGGAAGAATGAAAAAACAGCCGTTTACGCCCCAGATTATCTAGATTACCTAAGCCAGATATGACTAGTTATAGTGTATGGAGCAGAAAACTGGAAAACAATATTAGGTACATTATTTTTTAAAGAAAAATTTCTCAGAGAATTTATGGCCCGGTAAATATGATAATATAACAGAAGAGAGGAAACGAAGAAAGAATAGAGCTATAAATATTAAAATTTAGTGATTTCAACGTATTGAAAGTTCTCAGAAGAAGAATGCGATAGACTAGCAATGTTTAAAGAACTCAAAAATTGCTGCTACGTGCAGTGACTGAAAATACCTATATGGGAAGGCTAAAAATAATGTTTAACATTTGGGTCTTTGGAAGGTGGTTCTAATTGAAAGTACTTGTAGCATTTTACAGAGAAGGACAGATGCTCCATTGTGGGATGAGATGATCCTGAGGGCCAATAAAACCAAGAAGAGAAACGTTTTCACTAATCATTTATTATACTCTGAATCTCCTTTAAATTATATTTTATGTAAATTGTAAGTTAACATTTACTGAAATTTCATATTAAACTCAAGTCTCAGACCTCGGTACATTGGGGAACGCGTATAGGTATATTTTTCTTAAAAAAAAAAATATTTGTGTCGAATTCTCTAAAGCAAAAAATCAATTGTACTATTATCATTCTTGTAAATTGTAATATCTCAATTAAAAATTAGTTGTTGGTTTTCTATTTTATGTACAATGTATGATAAATTACTACTTGAAACCCTGTCAACTTATTACATACATATCATTTAGTTTTTGAACCCATCTAATTAAAATTAATTAATTAATTATGTTCATGTCTATTCTAAATATTAAATAGATTTTGAAAAACATTTTTCAATTCAGAGATTTATCTAACATTCCTTTCAAATTTATCTCTTATTCTAATACAACCATTGATATATTTATAATTTATAAGTAAAGCTGAGATTACGATGCACTTTGCATTGTTTTCCAAATGCACCGCATGGTGCTTGCTTTATAACAAATATGTTTCATGTATTTTTGAACCAGAAGAATAAGTTATATGAGAGATAAAGTGGCCGAGTGGACTAAGGCATCAGTTTCCACACGCACCGTTGCCGGTTCGAACTTCGGCCACAGGCAGCACTTCTCTTTGGGCAGTCATGGTGGTAGGAAAGACGCATTCCCCACCCAGCCATGGCAGATACCAACGGGTGCCCACTTGAAAATTCTGCTAAACTAAATACACACTTGCTTACAAAAACCTACAGTACCCTCCCCCACAGTTAAAAACACCATATGGCATGAGTTGAAAAAAAAAGTGTTGTCTTATATTTTTTTGACGATTTTCAATTTTAAAGTCTTTAGTTTTAATAGCTTTTTTGGAGAACTTTCATATCTATAATCTATTCCTATGACCAATAAATTATAAATTTAAAATCTATACAATCCATCCAAAATGTGATAAATATATTGTAAATAATTTTACCTATGTGATTCTATTTTTTTTAATTTAATTGAAAATAGGTTTATTGCCCCCGAAAATCAAAGCACTGCAACGACAAATGAGTGAAGTACTTGAAAAAGAAACAAAACTTGTGGAAGATAAAATAAGAAAATTCACAGAAAATCAATATTCATCTTTGGAAGAATTCAGAACTAAAGCTCAAAATGATTATGAGACTTTAGCTAGGTAAGATATTTTTAATTTTTGTTTTCAAATGTTTTTATGTAATATTAATTTTTTTAGAATATTATCTGAAAAAGATAAAAAGCCTAAATTTGAGAATTTACCTGCTCGAACAAGTACTAACAAATTGTCATCTCCTATACAACTGTTACCAAAACCAACAATTACTACGCTCAAGAATAATCCAACAATGAATTTAATGGATTTTACATTCAAACCTTACACTAAGGTAATATTTAAGTTTTATTTATTTATTAAATTTGTTATAATTTCTAACCATAAATTGGTTTAGGGTAATGAAAATAGTGTATCATCAAAACCTAGTCTAATTAAAAAACCTACAGTCGGGGGAAGTAATGATAGCGGATTACCTCCAGCATCATTTGATGCAGAAGGATTGTTTCCTCTTGAAGACATGGAAAATCTACAAATAGATTGTGCTTCTGATGATGAACTTTCTGAATCTGAAGGTAATAATTGATTATACGTTTTGATTTGTTTATAAAAGATAATTATTTGTACAGGAGAATCCGGAAGCCATGACGAAGGTATCTGCATTCAGCGTCATAAAAAATTAGATATTGCTATATCTTTACCAGTAGATGTACCCAGATTTATGGTCCATAGCGGCAGTGTTCCAAGTGATGTTAATCCTCGTATTCCAGTAATTACTTACAATTTAATCATTATAAAAAAAGGAATACCTTAAGTCCTTAACTAACTATACAAATTTTTATTTAAATAGGTTGGTCGTGATACTGAAAATAAAATGGATATTGCTGCTAGCATAAAAGCATTAGCAAAAAGTGTTCATGGTGATAGAATTTTTGGAGAACTACCTAGGCCACGTCTAGGATCTCAAATTTGAAATAAGATTCATTATTTTTTTCTGTTAAATTATATTAACATACAGTAATATAAAATTTAGAATCTGTAAATCATATTTTCCAAAAGTTGGTCTATTGCGGATCCTATTTAAACTGGTGATGAAGCATTGATTTTCAAGAGTATAATTGATAACTTTTAATTTGCTTACAACTTTTTTGGAAATATTTTTAATTATTTAAGTGTGATAAATCTAAAAGTACAAGATTTATAAGAATATATATTATATAATGCATATATATATTATATATATATAATGCATATATTTTAATAATCGCTTTGATTTTGTATTACGCTTGTTGTTTTAAGTTCATACCTTTAAAATATTTTATATATATATTTTTAAAAATGAAAGATTGAAATCAATTTTTACATTAAATCAACTTTTATTATGTCATATAAATATTGTCTTCTTATTTTATATTAACGTATGATACATTGATACCTTAGACTACTAATATACATATTATAAATATGATTTGTACATTCTGATAGTCATGTTTATAATGGTTTTATATTATAACCGTTTCTAAAGTAACCTTTATTTTTTTACACACACTGTAATACATTTGAGAATTTACATGACTAAATATTTATTTGTTTAGTTACAGTCTACAGGCAATTTGTGCTATTAGTAATTGAATGTAGGTAATGCTAAAAGAAACTATTTAAATGTTAATAAAAAATAGCAACATCATTTTGAACATAAAAATATAATTTATTAACAATTGTGGGGTAACACCTCCAGTTAATGGGTGCAAGTAAGAACTGTTAAGTCATTAATAGGACGGCATTAAAATGGTTTAAGGTTCATGCCTCATGGATACTTTTATTTTTGCTGGTAAGAAAACGAGTATTAGTGGATTACAAACCATTAAACCATCATATAATTGTATTAAATTTAATATTTTTAAATAGGATAAATAATATTTTTTTATAGTACTATAGTATTATACATCATTTATTACACTTGTACATTTATATAATAGCATTCAAATTGTTTTCAATTCACTGATACTTGTATTTAATATAACTATCAGTAAGGAATCCATGAATTTTAATTTCCTAACCGTTTTTACATTATCATTTAAACTTGTATACTAAATACTTATAGACATAATATAATAGCTTATATTTTTATAAATCATAAAAATTTATTATAGATATATTTTTTCTTACACCATTTTGTGAAGTACACTGTCAACCTTTTTAAAAATAAATTTTTTATAACTAAACAATTTGAAAAGAAGATTTCTAGTAGACAATACGGCCGTTATAAGCCACTGAGCAGTAACTCCATTTGTGTTGAAATCGAGTTTTTTTTTGTCTTTCTATAAATATTTTAATCCTCTGTCGATTTCCATAGTAAAATTTAAGGTTTTTCTCATTAAAAATACATATAAATTTATAATAAAATGAGATAATAGGCAAATTAGCACAATGTCCCAATACTGTTTTATTGTTTCCTGAAAACTACGATTTTGGAGTTACTGCTAAGTGCCTTATGACGGCAGAATATACATTGAATTGTATTTCTTTGCACTTAAAATTATCATTTCATAATTTTTTCAAGTGGTGTAATTTCTCATGGATGCTCTTTCTAATTACCGATTTGTTTTAAAAATTGATAGAAGCTTTTCTGACTCAAAAATAACTTTTGAGAGATTTAGAATTTTTAAATTTTAATTCTCCTTTTCTATAGAATATATTTGTTGAACATTTCAAGTGCTTTAATTAACCATCTTCAGACTTTGTTTTCTCCTCATAATTTTAAATACTTTGTAATGAACATTTTTTTTTATATTATGTTATATTATAATATTATATTATTACCTACTTTTTCGTTTTCTTTTTTATTCAAGAATAAATAATCAACTATTTTAAATAATTTTCAAATTCAAGTACCCTGTAATCTATGGTTATAGTTAGCTATTGGTATTTAGTAACTGTTTTTGCATTCCACACAAAATTCTGAAATAACGCTCCTGATTATTTCACGTTGTGCTCGACTGCTATCGTCTGTCTACCAAGCTGAATAAAATATATCACCTCACCATCGGATAACCGTCCGTTGTACTACACTACTTTAGTATTTTTTATATTACTACCATTAAAAAACTTTAAAATACAAGTAAATAATAATAACATATTGTTTACAACTAATAGTAGCATAATTAAAATGTACATAATACATATAAAAAAATTCCTAAAATTCCTCAAATAAATGTTATATATTGTAAAAATTGAATGCCAGTTTAAATATGGCAGGGGATAACCTATTAAAATAACTAATTAACGTCTTAAAATAAATGAATGACCTATTTTTAAGATAAGTGTGGACTTGAAATAAAATTACTCATACAGCCATACCTACTATGTAGTGACAAGCCAACACACTTACATGGTTATAATTAAAGACCGGATTTAAATTCTCTTAAAATACCCAAAATATGATGCTAATATTCTCTAAAAAACCTTCAAATATTCTCATTATATGCTTTAATATGCATTTATTTTTAAAAAATTTTTTCAACTATATTTTTATAGTGAGATATTAATTAGGTATTAAAAGTTGTGTATTATACCTAATGGAATAGTATTGCCCTTTAGTAAGAGTAGGAAGTTGGAATATAATATAAATGTAACAGTATATAATATTGAAACACAAAAACAAAATTTTGATATTTGAATATTTGATAAACGTATACGTTGATCTAACCTAACCTAACCTAACCTGTAGATATACATAGATAAACCTTGATAATACTGCGTGTTTTCTTTTCATCAAAATGAAAAAAAAAATAAATAAATTGTAAATGTTCAAAAAAAAATTTTCAAAGTACCGTAATAATAAAATTAAAAATAAATACAAATTTTGCTCACAATTTACGAAATATTCCAAAATATGCTAAATTTGTTAAATATTCTCCAACCCATGAAATATTCTCAAATATGCAAGAAAAACTTTTTTCTATGCATTCAGAATTGAACGAATCATCCACACTTTTTACTCTCATAAGACTGCATGGACCCAGTAACGATATGTAAAAACATATAAATCCGGTCTTTAGTTTTAATAAAATAAAAAGAATTTCAAATAATATAAAAGTATATAATTTATCCATAAATAAATCAGATATTAGACTAACCTACATGTAAAATATCGAGATATAGAGGAATATCAAAATTTTAGATTAAAGTCTGTTGACATAAGGTTGTCTGGTGGCAGTGTAATAAATTGTATACGGTTTATAGGCGTTGGGATAACAAATAAGTACCTTTTATCCAATTTATGAAGTCTGCCTATGTTTATACATCTAATTTTTAGTTTAATAATAGTTTTGAATTAGTAATTATTTTTAAGGTATTTTTCTATTCCATTGTTCTATATTTGTTTTCTATAAATTATCATTCACTCTGGTATTTTGTAATAAACTTTTAGTTTTTAATTGTTTTACAAATATAATATGTTTATATTGTTTTTGTAATAGGATCACATATTGTACTGGAAATTAGGACAATCTTAAAAGAAAAAAATTATAATTTTAAATTGTAAATAGCCTATGAACATTTACCAAATTTAAGTATTTATTACATTTATGATTTATTGAATATAAATACTATAATTGTCTATTTACCACATTACAATTATGAAAAATAAAATAATTCTTAAGTGTATTATAATAAAAATTGTATGATGTAATATTTTGAACATTCCAAGTTTTTAAACAATGTATGATTAAAAATAAACATTACATTTTAACTATAATAATAAGAAGTACAAACAGAAAAAAATTGATTAACAAATACATACCAACTATTATTTTAAATTTAATACTAGTTGATTGATGTGATTAACAACAACAGACGTATTAAAATCAATGCTGTCAGAACCATTTAAAAATATAACATCAGTTTTTTTTTTTTTTATCATTTCTAAATGTCTTTCATACTCAGGCCATGCATACTTCTCAAAATATCCGGGTGGTTCAGGAGGCAAATATGTTCTAGCTACACGTCTATCCCAACAAATTTCTTTATCCAAAATAGTAAAAAATGTTAAATCTGCTAAATTTAAAATTCTAATATCATCAAGTAAAAGAATTCCTTCAAGCACTAAAATTTTAGAAGTTTGAGAATCAATTGCAGTCATCATTTTATTCATATCATAGGCACTTATTTTATCCCATGCATGGTAATTAAGTTCTGGAATACTTTCCAAATGATCTTCATATTTAGTATAGTAAAAATCATCTTGATGTAATATTGAAATATCATTAAATGTGTTTGTAAGACGGTTGGCAATAGTAGTTTTGCCCCCACATGTGACTCCTGCGATCACAATAACTAATTGTTTAGCCATGATTTAATTATTTATTGCAACACAAGTATAGATTATAAGACTAATTATAAATAACACACCAATTGAAACTGGCATTACTAGTGCATTATAAATGGATGGAAATAATTGATAAATAAATGATTCTGAATCAGCGAATGGTGGTATGAATAGCCAACAAGTAAAGTAAGCAAAAATAGTTAGCACTATGACTATGATAACTTTTCCTAGTATAAAATCATCCATTAGTCTTGAAAATATTCACGTTCAAATTTCTCAAAATCTTCATCGGTAAATACAGTACTTTCTTCTTTTTTGGAATTTGGTATTTCAGATGACAAATTGACTAAACGTTGCTTGATCTAAAATCCAAAAAATAAATAAATCATTACAAAAATTAACTATACATTATACATTTTACATAGGAAAATTAAAAGTATCAAATTGTATGTACAATACCTTTAGGTTACGGTCTAGTAAGTGATCTACACATGTTCGTTAACCTACCGATAAAATTGTATCAACCTACAGGTTTTTTTATTGGAGTTATGGTCATTTTATATACTATTTTTGTTTAAAATGACATCTACTATTGCCTATTGGTCCTTTGTAAAGCCATATAATCTAAGGTTTACTACTAGTCAATAATCCCATGACATGTATTAAAGTTAAATACGGTATTTTATGTAATAGTCAACTGGTATACTCTGTTCCATCTAAAAGTGAACCACTTTCGCGCACACAGACTGAGCCGCCAAACAGTGCCTGAACCTCCCATGTGATGGCTATGCGTTCATGGCCGACAGTCATCGCCAGCCGTCAGGCGGCTGTGCTAACGTTCTCACTGTTGTCCAGGTTATGGTGGAGATACGAGGAAAAAACATGTTTTGGTCGGCCGAGTGGTTCACTTTCAGATGGAACAGAGTATAGAATTAAAAGGAATTCTGATGGAAATTTTAAAAAGGCTCTAACATTATAATGTAACTACTAAAAAAAATTGTTCATATTGACGTATCAAACTCTGCAAAGATAATGATATTTTTTTCAAACACAGATATTGACAACAGTGTTGTAATAGTCATCTTATATTGTGTGAAATAATGTTGTTTGGTTCTGAAAGAAAAATAGGTGTCATAGTTGTACTGTCTAAATTTATAATTTCCTTTTTCAAGGTAGAAGGAAGCATAACTGTGGTAAATTTATTACAATGTAGGGACCATCAGCTATAAAGAGAAATAAATAAATCTAATTATGAAAATGAAATAGTACAAACATAACAAAATTATGAGAAGTGTATACAAAGATCATGGGTATTTGGAATTTGTTGGAAACAGCCAAACTTATTAACAGAACGCCAATGTATGTATCGTGGAAAAACTGCTATACTAATTATTAAAAATGAAATAAAAGCTGGAATGACAATTTATAGCGGCCACATACTAACAGAGAGCATTTTCAACATTAAATTTTCATGAATATATTCATCAAAGGGGTTCATTATCATTTGTGTGGGAAATTCTAATGTGAACATAAATCCAAAGTCAACAACTTCACAAAATGTTGACCTACTGTTGTAACTCTGCAGGTTCAAGTCAGTCAAATTTTAAAAAACATATTAATAATATATAAAATCAACAACAGATAAAGCATAAGAAATTTGGTCGTTTCCAATAGCCCTGTGCCGAACGTAGACCGAGTGTATAACAAGCAAAAACTGTAAAGCACATACCAAATTAGCACCTGTTTTTAAACTAGAAACCCACCAGCTCCGATGCCCTTAAAAAAGTACAGTGCCTACAACACCAATGTTATACCAACCTATATTACAACTATATATATTATATACAATTAATATAGGTAAAATATTTCATTTAAAGAGTAAGTGATGAAATGTTATTACTTTTCAAAACTAATTTACCGAACCCTAACATTTAGTTTTTTTTTTTTTATATATATTTAAGTAATTTACAATCTATACAACATTATGTACAATGGGCAAATTTGATAGTTAATATAATGTGAAATAAACGAATTTAACATTTAAGGACAGGCACTCAGCAGCACCACCCGACCGAGAACATTTTGATGTCGTGGTTTTCTTTTTTTTTTATATATTAGTAGGTCTCTAGGCCACTGTCTTTTGAGTCTTCTACGTACATTGCCAGGAAGAAAGTTGCTTTATTAATGGATTACTGTGAGAGTTTAAGTTGGAGTGAAATTTAGAGTAATTTGCTTTTGCTAATTGATTAAGTGTAGGAAGTTTTAGGTCTTTGTGAAGATTATTGTTTGTGAAATACCAAGGAGAAGATGTTATTAATCGTAGGCAGATAGATTGAAAAGCTTGAAGCGTGTTGGTGTTAGAGGGCTTTGCAGAGCCCCATAACTGGATACCATATGTCCAAGCTGGTCTAATTATTGATTTGTATATAGTAAGTTTATTGGAAAGGGAAAGTTTGGAATTTAAGAGTGGTCTAAGGATATAAAGTCTAGAATTAACAGTTTTGCTTTTAAGTTTAATGTGTGGGCTCCAGGTTAAGCATTTGTTGTCGAGAGTTAGCCCAAGGTATTTAACTTCGTTTGCCTTAGGAATTGTTGTATTGTTTAACGTGACAGGAGGAGAATCGAGATTACGTAGTGAAAAAGTTACTTGAACAGATTTAGTTTCGTTTATTTTGATTTTCCATCTGTTTGCCCACAAGCTGATCATATTTAAATGGTTTTGGATCATTTCACTGGCAGTGACGTAGCTTTCATGGGAGGCGGTTATTAGCGTGTCATCAGCGTAGGTGCCTAAAGATGTATAAAATGTCTTGGGTATGTCATGAGTGAAAATCGAGTAAAGGAATGGAGCGATGTCGCTTCCTTGTGGGACTCCAGCTCTAATAGTGTAACGGTTTGAGTAGGTGTTGTTTAGGCGAACAGTAAAGAAACGATTTGACAGATATGATTTTATCAAGAGGAAAAGAGGGGCGGGTAAGAATTTTTGACATTTAGTTAGGTAATTAAAATATCTTTTTCAATAACTTGCAATATAAATTCTAAAATATATACATACCAAGTTAGATGCAATGTTATTTACACAACTAGTCCTATCTAATTTATGTAACCGTTCTAAATTTAACTGCACCAAATTCAGTTCCTTTTCATTTTTTATTTGTTCTTTTATTTTGAGAACAGATTTTCCAGCATCAGATTTCATAAAATTCGGTACTTTAAATACACTTTTGGCACGCTGTGATTTACTTTTAAATTTATTTGAGCGACTGGAAGACTTTTTGGCTGCAAAATTATGTATTTTATATTTTATTAGTTAATTTTTTCAAAATAAAATAGAAAAATATATTAAAAATTACCAGATTTTTTTTGTGTGGTTTTTTGATTTAAAAGTGGTTGTTCCTCGAATAACTGTAGAGCTTTTTTTAATGTTGAATAAGACATAATAACTGCGTTGGTATCTTCGAACACGAAACTACTTTTTATTTTTTATTTACTGTTAAATTAGATAACAATAATATCAGTTGACTTATGAGTTATTTAAAAATATTATGATAAAATTTAAAATACGTACGGAAACATTTTGATTTCAGTACAAACATATCAAAATTGAATGATCAAGATGTTCCAAAATATGATAGTCAGTGTTCCTTAGCCTTAAGAAGTTGACTCTTAATTCAAGTTATAACACATTTTATTCACTCACGAACCAAAGTGTGAAGTAATAACTACCTATTAACCTATCAAAAGTACAATGACAACAGCATGTTGCACAACGAGCAGCTCGTCGGTAATAATATAATATAGATAAAGTAGTTGACGATTCTTAAAATGTTAGGTTAGGTAATATGAAATGTGATAATAAATGAACTTATTGAAGGAAAAAACATGGCAATATATTAATATTTCTTGATATGTCTTTGGAGAAAAACGACAAGTGCGAAAAACGACAAATGGGTTATACTTTAAAAATAAAAATAATTTTTTAAGTTTCTATGTAGTATGTATAATATCTAATTGGCTATACAAATTACAAACCTTTTTTCAATGCAATTAAATATCAAATAGGTATATCAAATTATAAAAATCACAAATATATTTTTAAGTCAATACCCATCAGCCTCTGATCTTCTACCTGCAACAAGTTGCAAACCATTCGGGATAGGTACCTACTTCTAAAACGACTGTCTCAGATTGTTTTGAAAAAAAAATACCTACCACCCAATTCGGTTTTCGATTATACCATTCCACAATCAGCTCAATAATAGTTAAAATTCAATAGTCTAAATCGAAAAAGAATGTCATCCACGGACCACGATCCACTAATTTTGAAGTTAACTTGAACAATAACTGAATAACCCCTTGCCAAACTAAAATAAAACAATGTAACTCAGTAACTCACCCATTCGACTTATTCGGCCTATCTTTAACTTAGTCTTAAAAACAAAATATTCATCTATTAAGCTATTATGGCTCCCATTTGGTCAACTGTTTTCAACATTGATCACTGGAAGCATTTTAGCCTTAGGTAATTATAGTTTACAATTACCTATCTAATTATTGGATGCCCATGGTATGTCTCTGACGTAAATGTATACAAATTATATAATAATTTAATACCATGACTTACTACATATTCTCCCACTCAAAAAAATTGCCAATAAAACTATCAAGCTTATATTAGGTATGTATATTTACACTAAATTATTAGTTATGTACTTATGTAGGTACTCATGTATTGTTTATAATCATGTGAAAATTAACTGTAGGTATCTTAATTGTGATGTAATTACTCTTATCTTAATAACCAATATTGACGTATTGTAATTTGTAGATAAATTAAATATTTTATTCTAAAATGTTCGGTGTACCAGGTACCACCAGGGCCGTATTACCGCATATGGCATATATTATGTACTATAGAGGCACTGTGCCTAGGGGCTAGGGCCCACGAAATGTTCAAATATTATATTCTTCATAATTCTTTATATTGTGGAGAAAGTGCCTCTTGGGCCCCAAAATGACTTAATCCGTTGCGCCGTACCCAATGGCGTATTTAGGATTTTGCTGCCATGGATACATATTTTTTTAATGCCCCTTTCCTCACACTGGCATTTTTACAGTGGTAATTTTTCTCACCCGTAAAAAAAACCTACAACACATGTGATATGGTAATAGTATCATGCAGTATAAAAATATATTGAGTGCCCCAGAATTTTGAATATCGTAGGTACTCTCAGTATCAACCACGATTTAAGATACTATCTTAAATCGTGGTATAAACGAATAACGAAATAATCAAAGCAAATTATATAATGTATTAATTTATTTTTTATCTATTTATAAATTACCTAGTGAACATATTAAAAATTAATATTTCTTGAAAAGACATCGATAAGGGCCGCATAATGAAATATGGCCTTAAAATCAATACAAATAGAAAATAGAAATCGACCAAATGGTCTAATGATAATAATTTATAATTTAAAAAAATATCATTTATAATCTATGGTTATTTTTTTTTAGTTACACCAAACAATCAAAATAAAATTGTCAAAAACCTGTGTTTTGCCTAAAAATTTTGGTTTTTCCTCAATTATTATATATATATATTAAGTCACTTAAAAACCACGAAGAATTGATTTTAAATTTCTACATAATAGCATTGATTATAAATAGGTACTATATTAATACTATGATACAATAGTATTTATAATCAATGTTAAATAGTAAACATAAAAGTAGGTACCTACTACCTACCTACATAAAATATTAAATTAAACTAATTATCAGTCAAGACATTATTTTCAACGATTTTGAATGATTTTTCCATGTTTTTTTTCTCTCCCTGAAAATAAGACTTTTTTTACTTACTACATTTATAACATACACCAAAGCAGTGCCGAAGGTATTGTTTTGGAGCAATTGCTCCTTCAAAATATTGTTGGTTTGTGGGTGGTCCCCCTGCCACAAAATACACAGCCACCTAGGAGACTAGGTATATCGTAGAAATATCATATCCGATTATACGAATCGTTACAAATGTACGCATATTTTGTACATTTTTAATTCAAAATTTTTTGCTATTTGGAAATGCCATTATAAACATCAAAGGGGGTGGGTGAGTATGGGTACCTTGTATAGGTACATTTTTGCTCATTACCAAGAATTAGTTCAACACGCTAATGCACCAAAGATATAATACAGAAACGTTTAGTTAAGTACTCAACAGTAAAAACAAAATACTTGATCAATCAAATACAATATACCTACAACTCAACATTTATCAATGTACAGTGGCCAAACCAGGGGGGTCCCCGTGTACAGACTCCTTTGAGCTATGCCTTTAATGGGTGCCGAGTGGGTATACTACCAAAATAGTAAGAAAAAAGTTTCTTAAGGGGATTGTAAATGGACAGTTTTTAAGGAGTTCAAAATAGGCAATTTCCAAATTGTTTGCATGGCTTTGCATATCGGTTTTCTAAATGTGTGCGTAGTAAGTAATTTTATTGTGTATATTTTGTGTGTAAAAAAAAAAAAGGAGCTCTCCCTCACGAGCTTAAACGAGTCACCTACATGACGTTGCGCATGTAAACGGTAAACAATGTATGTTAAATTGCATGTACGATGTACTTTTTGTCAATCCTACCGGATCATGAACATTAGAGGATGTTGTTCATGCTACCGAGTACCGATAGACCCGATAACGCTATAAGACTTCTGAAAACTGATTTGTATTCGTTAATATGTCTACTTAAAATCGATCCTGTCACTATTTAATATATGTAATTTAATTTTCAAATGGTCAACATTTCAAATTTCCTAAATTTTAAATATTCAAACAATATTTATAGGAGTTTAGGAACACAATTTTAACAAAGTGGCTTAGTGGCCTGGATGCCTGATTGATGGATTGATCTCAAGTAAACATATAAAAAATGCAAATAAGTTTTCAGAAGTCTTAAGCTTACCTCGTTATTAGGTCAATTGGTATGGTTGACAAAATACTGGTACATTTTGGTTGAAATATTTGTCCTTTTTCAATCCCGTCAAAACGTAACAAATCGTAACAACACTTAATTATACATTCTGTAAGTGCCGTAGCCCGAAAATTTTTTTTTTGGGTGGGGAGCACTTAATTTTTTTCTCTAGCCTTTGAAATGCTAGAATTTCTAATGATGAGTGATGACCCCTTTGTTCATAAAGTATATCTACTCTGTTTATAACTATATATTTATGTTAACAACTATATTATGCTACCTACATTTAATATAACAATGTATTAATATTATTGTAAACCATAGGTTAATGTATTCATTAATATAAGAATATTATTATATTAGTATATAATTATTATATAAAAATGTGTTGTAAACAAAACATTCCATATTTTGTTCGAATATTATTAAAATTTACTAACAAAAATACAAGACTATATTAGGGCTGTTGTAAGCTGGTCGCTTTTTATGCATTTGGACCAATAAGTGGAAAAAAATATATAATTCTACAAGTCCAATTTTAATTTTGAAAATATATAAGAATTTCTCCCCTTTTTGTCTGTGTTTTGGAGGAAGCGAATTTTTTTTTTAGTTGGTAATACTTAAGTAAAAGTGAATTTTGAAAAAAAAAAAAAAGAAAATTAATTTGGTAATACTAATCAAACAATATTACAAATCAAAAATCCTATATAACCTAGAAAAGAGATTAATGAATTTAAATATGTTTTCCAAATTAAAATAGGGCTTTTGGTACTGGCCACTAGGTGAATCTTTCTTCCGCTTTTGGGAGTTTCATGGTACATGGGAGTTAGTGAGGTCCAAGAATATTCGCCTTCGTTTATCTTTAATTACATAAAGCGTTCAGGGAGCTCACAAACACTAATGATCAATCACTACACACACAGTCATCAGTCATCATACAGCACTAACAATGGACTTACAATATTTCCTAAATCTGACCCCTTCAAAATGTTTCGCACTTCGCTTTCGACAGCCTTAACTTTTAATTTTTATGAAACATATAATATAATTCAAACCAGGCCAAAAAAAATGTCGAGTGGTCACGTGCCCTCAATGCCCACCCCCTGGCTACGGCACTGTATTCTGTACATTTATATATCATTGCTTATTACTTGTTAGACAACATGCAGCTTGTACACTGACTATCAAGTTGGCTAAAAAAAATCGCATAACTACATTTTAGATTCTGAGTGGAACGATAAATGTACTGATTTTACAATGAGGTGTGTTTTTTTTTTTTTTGTGTCTGTCAACACGGTTTGGGGCAATAAAATTTTCTTCAACTGTATCTTGTTCGACGGGAAAGTGAATCCAGTTGGTGTATTCGGGAGGTAAAATTTTAAAATTCCCAATAGTTTTCAAAAGAGGCGGGAAAAACAACATAACAATTAAGGAAAAACGGGAATTTTTATGCAAAATCGGTTT